TGCATATTCCGAGAATTTTGTATTGTGTGTATTTTTTTTTTTTATATTTATTTACATTTTTGTCAAGTATTGATTGTGTCTAGCACTTCTACAACATATATCTATCTATCTATCTATCTCGTCAGTTCTTTCTGTACAGTATTTCTCCATACATTCATCCTCATCTATTAAACTAGATAATATCTATCTAAACCTCTTATGCTCTTAAAAAGGACAATGTCTGTTTATTCATCCATCCATCTATCCCTACCTCCATCGTCCTCAGATTACATCTATCTATCTATCTATCTATCTTTTTCATCCATTCATCCTCCCAACAATTCATCTTTTTTAAACATTATACATTTCATCGTCATAATTTCTCAAGCATAGCAAACAAACCCCAAGATCTTCGTTTTCATCCTCCAATCTCTGGATCTCGTCCTGCAGGGCTTCATTCTGCTGTGTCACGGGCTCGTCGACGCCACTCGTGGCCTGTGCGGCCGGTCCCGGTTGCGTCTCGCCTGATGCTTTGCGCTGCATCCTGCAGCTTTTCTTCAAGCGCTTGTTGATGTGATACTGGATGAGCTCTGATTGCAGACAGCCCCCGCCCCAGAAGGCCGGCCCGCGGCCCACGTACTCTCCTCCCGCAGCGGCCTCAATCTCCCCCTCACACCACCACCGGAGGAGCCGTCGGGCTGCTCCGAGGACGAGTCTCTGTTGACGCACGGTAAACGCAGCGCGCGGCTCGTGTCCGGTGGTGGAGCGCGATCAGTCCGCTCCTCGGTTTCCCAAACCGCCTCAGTTTCAGCACCATGAACAGCTGCCGCACCTCTCACGACACGCGCTCCTTGAGCCGCCTGCTCTCCCTCGCGTCCTTTAATGCCTTTTCCTCCGAGCTTCGACGCAGCGGATGATGAGGAGCGGCTGCCGATGGGTTTTGAGGCCGGTTTGGCGGGGGTTTGTCCGGGAGATGGTCGCCTCCTCCCTTCGGTTCTGTTCGCTGATGGTGGAAAATCCGCAGCGCCACTTGCGGCAGAACTATTCATGTCATATAACAGACCTCCAAAAACACTAACGAGTTTTAAGCCATTTGTAAGAGGGGGAAAAGGAAATTTTAGAATAAACTTTATTTTTATTTAAAGAGTACAAGTAGAGACAATGAAATGCAGTTGTCTTCATATAAACGCAGTCCTGTTAATATATAATTTAATACATTTATAAATAAAATTAACATACAAACGAACAGCAATTTTCTGAGAGAAATGTGAATTCGTATCGTTTAAAGAATTATCTAGGTGAGTATGAAACATTCATTTCAGACTTACAAGCTACATGTATTTGTCAGTCAAGTTTATTGACATCCATTACAGTAGGCTTCTATTACAGTAGTAAAATGTTTTGAGAATTTTCTGGTTCTTTGCAAGTTTAGAGCCTGTCCAAATAAACATATAATGATTAGCCTACATCTTGGTGAAGTCCTAATTTGAGTTATTCTTCAAGAACATTTAATATCGCGATGTTTTCTTACCTGTTTATGAACTGTGCTCATTTATATCCAGTGTGAGTGAGACGGTTCACTTCAGCTCGAGGGTGCCAGGCACTGCTTATGCACGCGAGACACTGACGTTTACTATTCATGAGGTGACGTAACAACAGATATAAGGAAGTGTGAGTACCATGTTGTTAAAATACTTAAGTACCATATTAACTGCCATGTTCTTAAAATGCGATATATAAACAGTCAATTTAAAATGTTGTTTTTAAATATAAATGTAACATTTACAACTGTATTATTTTAATTATTATTAAATTGTTGATTTTTTTTTTTCTGTGAGTTTTTTTTTTAGAGGTCGGTGTATACAGTCTTGTTCCCTTTAAATCCTTAGAAGGAGGAAAACTGAATGCTGCTGAAGTTTGCTGCTTCACAGATAAGTGAAAATGCAGCGTCATTCCCTCGCACTATTATGCATGAATAGATTCGAAAGGTCATTCTGGAGTGTGTGCTCCCGACAGGCCAGTAGTCAGATTACAACAGAAAATGTTTTATGTAACTCTGCAGTGAATCTTATGAATTTTTATTTTTTTTTTTACAATTTTTTTTAATTGCAAATGTAACAATTACAGGGTACGACAAATATACATTGTGTGCTGTTTTAAATGTCCTTTTTCTGTTTTTACAAGTTTTCAGGGCCCACCAGTCGTGTTCAGGGTTATCATAAAACTAAAACCATAAAGAAAAAAAAAAATCGTTACTTGAAATAAAATAAAATATGACTGAAATAGAATAAAATATATAAAACTTAAACTAAATATATTTAAAATATTAAACAATATAATAAAATAGTAAAATAAAATATTTTTATAAAATATATACAAATCTTAAACTATGATAGTATTTCAGTTAAACTAAAATAACAGTCTTGTCTGTCACTAGTCTTTGTCTGTAATTTAAATCAATCTCTCACATATTAAAAACCATCACTTTGATCAAATGCTCTAGATTGTACGGAATTGTAACGGTAAATGTTATAATGAGTCACACAGTGAATCTCAGGTCGTTGGCACTGTGATATCAATCTGTAATACTGCCTGTGAACACTGGAGAGCGCTATCTGTCTGTATACTTGAATTGGAAATAATCTGATGAATAGAAGAAATAACATTTCCTATTACATGTAAATAGGATTTGGGGGTCTTAGCTGAGTTATATGATAGGAGGCTTTTTGTGTGGACACAGAGAAGAGCTCATTATCTCAGGGAGTGTTTGTAGTGTATATTATCAGAGGAACAGGTTGGGAGAAAGGTGAAACCACTTTCTGTTAATAGGGCCAGTGGAAATCTCTGGCCTGTTTGCAATCCTCTTATTGAGGAACATCCTTGACCAGACACAGGAAGAGAGAGAGAGAGAGAGAGAGAGAGAGAGAAATTATAGAATGGTTTTGGAGAATAAGAATTTGAAGATGATAGCTAGTATGTATGTGCAAACCAAATGCATTTTCTGTAAGATACTAGATTAACTAGCACAATTAATTTAGTTTCAGTAACTCAGTTTCAGTTTGGCTATACTATGTCAAAAATAATCCTAATAATACTAATACTTATAAATATTTCTTTTTTTTTGTGCACTTCCCGTAAGTATTTTTTAAGCTTCAGACAGATTAGACTGTCCATATTAAAGTTAACTGTTAAAATAATAAAGAGAGTACTATTAAAATGCATTATTTAAAGAAAGACGACAGTACATTGTGCTAACATATGAAAACAGCTATGGACATTTACGTTTTCCATTGACATGGATTCTGCTGGCTGGCTGGTTTAAATGGAAAATTACGTAATTAAAAAAATAACGTGTAAAATAATTTTACTGGCTTTTTTATAGCAAAGACCTTTGCACTTTATGCAAATTAGACATTTTAAAGAGTAAAAAGTATGGTGGTTTGTCTTTGGAAATGTAATTAAGAGAGCTAGTTTTTGAGTTTACTAGTTGTCAAATATAAAATTCCAAAAAATATTAATAAAATAAATTTTCTCTATTTAGAGCAGCATTTACTTCTCTTTTCCTGCATAAAGGACATTTATTATCTTATTTGGCATACTATATATAGAACATTTCTAACTTATTGTGGATATATGCATGTGAAATTGTCATGTGTAAAGTCATATTTATTGCATTCATCCATCTTTAATAGTTTTAGTTTGATACCAGTGTACATTTCCCCCACTGTGACCTGAATAATGCTACATACTCTGACGTGGATATAAGCTCTTTTACAGCGAAAGCCAATTTACAGCCTGATTAGTCCAGATCTGTCTGCCCAACCCCTCAAAGCTCTGGCCTGGGAGCTCCATCGCGGTCGGAGGACACTTCATTAAAGGTCCAGGAAGGAGAGAGATGGAGGCAGAGGGTCTGCTAAAATAGGCAGTCAGACATCCTCTTCTCATATTAAAGTCCATGAGTCATGGATGGTTGCAAGAGAAGAGCTAAGGTGTTTTGTGCATTGCTAAGTAATTGTTAGGGTGTCCCTATATGGTTGCTAGTTACTTTTTATCTTGAAATCTTTTTGTTTTTCTAATTCACAATTCAGGTCGCATTCTTCACAATTTATGTTTCACAATTCAGAATTTTTCCAAATCCTGGGTGAATTTTTTTTTTAATTGCGTTGTATAGCCTACTCTCGGAATTGTGCATATATAGCCTATCATCCTTGGTGTGAATGGTCCGTAAAACTTGAATTTTAAGTATAAACTACAATAACAGTATGAAAGCCCGTTTCTGCCATGGAATAAAAAAAAATCAAATAAAAAAGGTAATTGCGACTTTTTATCTTGAAATCTTTTTGTTTTTCTAATTCACAATTCAGGTCGCATTCTTCACAATTTATGTTTCACAATTCAGAATTTTTCCAAATCCTGGGTGAATTTTTTTTTTAATTGCGTTGTATAGCCTACTCTCGGAATTGTGAGATGCAAACTTGCAATTGCGAGGGGAAAAAACGGTTTAAAAAGTCATGGCAATAAAAAAACAAACAAACAAAAAAACCATTGTGTGATGTAAACTCAGAATTCAGTCAGAATTTTGAGATGTTTTTTTTGTGTGAAAAAAGATTCAGAATTCTGAGTTTATGAATTTTGTGAAAAAAGTCAGAATTCTGAGTTTATGAATTTTGTGAAAAAAGTCAGAATTCTGAGTTTATGTCATAATGAGTTTATACCTCACATTTCTGTTTACATCTCGCATTTCTGACTCTTAGAATTGCAAGAAACTAAGTCCGAATTGTGAGATAAAAAGTTGCAGTTACCTTTTTTTAAATTGTTTTATTCTGTGGCAGAAACAGGATTCCATAATAATAGCAATGCTTGAATTAGCAAAACAAAACAAAAGAGACAGAGTCATTTGTAAGTAATTAGCAAACACACGCATGAAAGAGAGTGAGGGAAGACAGAAAATAGGGTTGACATCCTGTTTATTTCATTCGGTTCTGTATCAACTGGTATACAAGAGGAAAATTTTGTATACCCCCCCCCCATCATGGGATTCTATTATCACAGGGAACTTTTTCATAAAAGGGAACAAAAAGCAAAATTTGTGTAACTGTAATGCGATATGACTTGCAAAAACTTCATAAAAAGCTACATGCACAAAGCAATAGAGAGGAGTACACATACCTGAACAGACATTAAGGACGCAAGTATGCGTGTGTGTGTATGTGTATGCAGTATATGTCTAATTTCACATGTGGAACAGAAACATATGAAACTACCTGAGTATATAGCCATGACACCATCATTACTGCACGCAAATTAAGTTGAAATAATGATATTATCTAATGCAAGAGTATAAACCCACCAAATGTACAGTGATTTTCTTTGGTAGAACTGTGTTGCCACTTTAGTAATTTAGTAATTTGTAATAACGGTCACCTGAGCCCATAAACACCATTGTTTCACTACAAATGAAGATTCAAACAGACAATAATAATAGATGTAAAAAAAAAAGCGGAATTGCGGGATTATCCTCATGTTTTATAGAAGTGATTCAGACTTGCATCTCGAAGGACTCATTTCTCCATATTTTTTATTTAAGGGCTCAGTCTTTCAGGATTCAAGAGTGTCACGAAAGCTGAGCCATTTATGTAAGAATCTTTCATCAGCTGCTTATACTAAATAAAAACATTAAAAGAATCGGCTTGTTTATGTGAAAAAGCATATTTAACTGATTTTGTGGGAAAAAAAACCCTGACTATTCTCCCCCCAATGGTAACTAAACATCTCAAAGTAGCTTGCTATTCTGATTCAGTAAACCATAAGGGACATTTTAGATTATATAACTGTCACAAGTAGCCTAAACAACAGAGAAAGTGACGTCACACAGGACTAGTTGCATTGGAAATGTCCCTAGTTTGAAATCCAATCAGCAACAAAAAAAGACCAAATTTGTTTTCACAATTACCAAACAGTCTGTAGCGGTTGAGATTCCATGGGTAATTTTGAAGCCCATGAGACCCAGTGTTTCACTTCCGTCCATGTTTCTTTTCAGTCATGCTTTCCTTTTCCTTTCTTTTGTTTCTTGCCATTTTCCATGACCTCCGGTGCCTTATTGGTGCCATTGGAGACGCCGTTAACGGCAGATTTGGCCGACTTGAGGCGTGGCTGGCGGCGGTAGGTCTGGTAGTAGAAATTGGCGAACAGGATGATGAACGTGACGGCGTAGCCAATCAGAGCCCACTGCATCCAGGCCGGGAATGGGCAGCCTGTGTAGAGAGAATGAGCGGCATGGCCAATGGTGACGTGGAACTGGATCTAAACACAAGCAAACAGGTATGTAACAGAAATCTGCAACTTATCAACATTTGTGAAGACTTCTTTGATTGCTTCAAGTAGTCTAGAAGAACATAAAGATCAGATAATGTCACAAAATGACAATTTCACGGCCAAGAAATGTTCTGTTTGATTGATGTTGTTTTACCTCAATAGTTTATATACAAGGATTCACTGCATCCAACCATAGGATTGTAAATATTATTCAGTTATTTACTAAATGTTTCTGTAATATTTTCAACATATCGATTCAAAAAATTATTTTTTTCTTATTATTCAAAATATTAAAATTATTTTCAAAAAATATGATAAAGACACAACTGTAACTGGATGAACTATTTACACTGTAGAGGACTTTTGACAAAAATACACCAGATTGTTCATTCACAGACTCAAGAATTGTATTTTAAAGCGAACTAATTATTAATTTATTAAAATAATGCTTATTATAGTAATTATAGCTTATTATTACATTCTACAATCTTTACATGGAAATTTCAAAGTTACACTGCATTTTTAAATCCCCACTCAGCTTATTTACCTTATTTAACTATATTTACTTATTTTTGTATGAAAGCTTGTTTCCGCCATGAGATTAAAAAAAAATGATAAAAGGTAATTGTGATTTTTTTCTGACTTGTTTTCTCAGAATTGCAAAATATAAACTCAAATGCGAGATCAAAACTCAAAATTTGGAGAAAAAAGTCAGAATCGCAAAATATAAACTCGCAATTCTGAGAGGAAACGTCTTTATTGTGAGATATAAACTCACAACTGCAAGAAAAAAAGTTGTAAGATAAAAAGTCTCAATTACATTTTTTATTTTTTTATCCCGTTGGGAAAAAAATGGAATGAAAAAAAAAGTCAGTTTAATGGCCACATATAAACTAATTTATATGTTTAAATTCATTTTATCAGTCAGTTTATATCTTGAGATAAAAAGTCGCAATTATCTTTTTTATTCCATAGTGGGGGAAAAAACAGAATTGCGAGAAACAAAGTCAGAATTCTGAAGAGTCATAATTGTGACAGAAAAAGTCACAAATAACTTTACTTTTTAATTCCATGGCGGAAACAGGCTTCCGTAGAATTGTATATCTTGAGCTAAGTGAACTAATAAGAAATCCAAATCAGTTTGGTAGATGATCATTTTCCATGCACCATTTTAAGAGGGATGTGGAGTGTTTATTTACCATCTGAATAATAGTGAGGTATTTCTTCCACCACAGGTACTTCTGGATCTTTGGGCCGAACGCTGCCAAGCCATAGTAGCCGTACATCAGCACATGAATGCCTGAGTTAATCGTAGCGCCAAAGAAAGCTGTGAAGAGGGAAGGAGATTTAGTTGGATAAAACATCAAAAAATATGTTGGTCCAACAAAATATTGATTGAGTTCTAGGATTATTAAGGAATGGTGTATTTTTTTGGGACAAAGGGATGGTTTCATGGAATTAAATTTCTTTAAAAAACAGTCACATTCATGTGGAAATTTTTATAAGACACAGAAATCCCTTCTGCTCGAGTTTCATGAATAAAGCAAATTGCTTCAAGATGCCATTCGGTTCAAGCTATATTGCTTAAGTGAACACTATTTAATATCAAGCACTGAATATGAAATGTTCTGGAAGTGTCACCAACATTTGTTGAGACACAAGATTACAACACGCAGTCATCTCAACACAGTCTTCCACCCATTTCAGATCATTATCCTTTGTTCACCCTTTCCTCTTTATTACCCTTCTGACCATCTGTACCCTTGCAAACCCTTTGACCCTTTCCACATCCCCCTAAGCTCTCCTAACCTTTCCTCAAATCTCCTCATCCTTCTGTTTTTTCGTTCTTTTCTTGTTCATGCCTCAAAATGCAAAACATTTGACAATGACAATGATTGATTATTGACAATGGTTCTCATGCAAATCAACCATTATCATTTCAGATTATCCACTTTGCTGGCCTACAATTTAATTTCATCACACTGGTGTTAATGGAGAGACATCTAGCACAGCAACATATAAGCAAAATGAGAAATGCATGAACTCATTAGATGTAGACCTTGATTGCAAATTAAAGGGACCGTTCACCCAAACATGACAATTCGGTCATCGTTTACTCTCCCTCGAGTTTCAAACCTGAATGAGTTTCTTTCTTCTGTTGAACACAAAAGAAGATATTTTGGAGAATGTTGGTAACCAAACAGTTGTTAGTCCCCATTGACTTCCATAGTAAAAAAATAATATGGAAGTCAATGGGGACCAGAAACTGTTTGTTTACCCACCTTCAAATGATGCCAATGTGAACTACCCCTTTAAGTAGCGTTGGATAAAAGCATGAAAAACACAAAAACATGACGTCCAAATGGTAAATGGTTCATAAAGAGATGTTGTAAAGTCTTTGTTCAATTGTACAGTACTGTATATTTTGGCCTCATTTTAGGTTTAGGCTTAATATAGGCTTAGCCTTAGGACTTTAGGCTTTGGCCTAGTCTATTATAATCACAATTGGCTTAATTTGACAACAATAGTTATTTAGATATATTTAGGTCTTCTAAATCAATAGATGTGTGTGTGTGTGTGTGTGTGTGTGTGTGTTTGTGTTTGTGTTTGTTTGTGTGTGTGTGTGTGTGTACTCACACTGTCCACCAGGAACCCACTTGATGCCGATCCACCACAGGATGAACATTGTGCAATGGTGATAGACGTGCATGCAGCTGACCGACCTGTCCACCAGGAACCCACTTGATGCCGATCCACCACAGGATGAACATTGTGCTATGGTGATAGACGTGCAGAAAGCTGACCTGATTAAACTTCTTCCTCATGATGAAGAACACTGTGTCCAGAAACTCCACCCCCTTAGAGATGTAGTACCACCATAGCGCTGACGCTATCTGTAGAAACACCACCAGTATCAGTGACGATATCTATCTATCTGTCTGTCATTGTTCTATCATTATATCATTTTCTTTCTTTCTTTCTTTCACAGATCTGGACTGGTAACCAAATGGTTGTAAGTATAAAAACAACTGTGGGTGATCTGTGAAATCCCATAACCATTGAAGCCTTGATCAAGACGTATAACCTAAGCTCTTACTTAAGTCACATTAGATAAAGGTATATAATTATTCATTGCAATTCATTTGCCGATTAGGTATATTTGTAGCAGGAGCCATGAGAATGGAGGTGTGGCCTACAGGTGGGGAGACTCCTGACCTCATCTCTGTCTTCACGTCACTAGGGAAACCAATCTTGCCAATGAGGGTGACGATGCATGCCAAGACAACAGCATGAGGGAACTCTAACCGTCGTCAGTGAAAGTGAATTCAGGGATTCGGCATTCCGGCCTCCTGATTAAAGATAAGCCTCGCTCTCACAGAGATCTCCTCAACTCTCTCCCTGTTCCTTACAGCTGTAAAATACCCTCTGAGTGCTACAAGATCATGGTGTGTTTAAGGGAAAACAGTGCGTTTCTTACCCGGACTTCATTCACATCATTGGAGTAGTTCACGGGCTGGCAGAGGTAGCTGTATCCGGCCGCTCTGGAGCCCAGGAGCAGCTAGAGACAAAAACACATTATTATCCATTTGTGCAATAGACTGTCTGTGTAAGAAGCAATAGTCAAATATGTCACAATTTTTTAGTTTTTTCTTGAACCAGTGATCTAGTGCCAAATGTCTGTGACCTGTCTGTGGTACAATATTGCACATGTTGTGCTGAAATCACTGCTATTTTGCTATTGCTATCTTTTCACACAGTGAGCACTTCAAGCATGAATAAATAAAAACCTGATAATGCTAAAATCGTATTGCATAATATGAATATCAGGCAGGATTGTTGCATGTGGGAAGTTGACAAGTCCTGCAGTTCATTATTATTATTTTATATTGTTATATTTTAAACATTATATTTTTGTTATATTTCAACATTGTAAATATTTTACATGTGTATTTGTGTGTGTGTGTGTGTGTGTATGTATGTATATATATATATATATACACACACACACATATATTTACATGTAAATAATAATTAATAATATATACAATAATAATATAAAAAACTATATCAATTAATTTTTATAATAAACTTATAAAAAAAGAGTTTGTTGTCTGTGAGACACTTCAACTCTCATAACTCACAAAGTTAATCTAGAACATTTACTGAAACTGAACAGCAAAAACGACTTGTTCAGAAATCATCACCACCAGAACCTTATTAACATATACCTGCCCTCATTTGCATATCTACACCTATCAGTGTGAAATGTCTTAAAGGTACAGTAACAGAATTAGCCTTCTGTAAAGGGTGAAAAATCATCAATCGGCCATTCCTCCACGCGCTTATCTGAGATTTAAAAACATAAAACCCAATTCGATTCAGAATATTTAGCAATTTTTTTTATATTCTTAAAAATATAAAAATACATGTGTAAAAAGATTCTCACCTGCTATGGTAAGGCTCCATTTATAAAACTCTGCAGAGTCATTCACCAGTGTCATTACATAATTAGCCCGTCTTCCACGGCCCTGCTGACGCCCGTGCATTATTTAGCGGCCCTATCGTTTTGCACTGAAACAAACGGAAGGAAAACAGGACAGCTGTATACGGTCCCAAATATAACACACAAGCGAAAGGGTCAAATTCACAAGCAAAGCAGGGAGAGAATAAGCTTTGCTAAAAATACTTGGTGTTACATCAGGTTAAACTTGATTGAAATCTTTAAGAGCTCTCCGGAAGAAAATGCTCACACAAATGAAAGCTAAATATGCTTATGCATATTAGTGTTCCCAAAAATATCTGCACACTTAATAATGTCTCAATATCATTGCATTAGATAGAACATATAAAAGTGTGATTTTATCTGTGCTGAAATGCTGCAGGATCTTTTCTCTTCAGGGTTTTCATGATTTTTAAGTGGATCTAGGAAGTCAGTGTTCCACATATTTACAAAGTTGTCCTAGCAGAGCAACCACACATGTAGTAATTCAACACATTAATTATGTTCCATTAACCGCAAATAAACACAAAGTCATACAAAACTTATGTCTTCGTTTTCAATATAGGGAAGACTGGGGCTAGTTGTCACAATATCTTTACCTCAATAACTATAAGCTTTTGAGTCAAAAGTCCAGCTGCACAAATGTATGTGTGCTCAGTGGTTTTATATGTTGGTCTATAGTTTAAAACTCTTTAATTAGGAATTTTTTGTGACTCTGTCCTCCAAACTAAAATTCCATTATCGTTTTTTTGCTAAATCTGTTGGGTAACAAGTGTGCATACAAAAAACACACCAGCATGCGTTCAGAAAGAGTTAATTATATAATGATAGGCAGATTTTCACTAAAGGTTGAACTGTGTTCTCAGGACAAGAGTATTTTTCAGGTTGGTTCAGGTCATCACATTTATATTGGGGCAAGTAGTCACGTGTTTCATGTTGTTGTTTTTATGCAATTTATTAATTGCAATTTCTGCTGACCAAATATTGCTTTGGTAATTTTTCATTTTTGTTCTTTTAAGAATTGTTTTTGTGTTTTGTACTTGTTTTAATGCTCAAAAGTCAATAATTGGCTGTTTATTGACAGTTTGTACCCCATGTAGTGTGACAACATGTCCCATACCTACAACTTTAAAGTTTGTGCCTCTTTGGGATTTGACAAAAATAAACCTACACAGAAAAATATAACTAGCCCTGGTTTCCTCAGTATGTTGTTTTAGAATTTAAGCCTTAACTTCTTTTCCTGATTGTTTTGAAAAGGGTGTTTGTGTTCTTTCTTTAATCTTATAATACCTCTTAATATTTTGTATCTAATGCAGTGACATTTAGACAATTTTAAGTGTAGATTAAGTCTGTAAATATGTGTTGAGGCCGCTTAACACGTGCAAAGATGGCATAGATGATTTTGCACTATAAAGTGGAAGAGATGTAGCTCTGTTAAAATAAACATGTCGGCACGCAGTGCAAATTTCCTGTGCGTCCCCACTGAAGACAAAAGCCTCCGTGCGCGTGTGTCAGCAGGTTTCACCAGCATTTGTCAGTCAGGCTTTAATTCCTTTTGATCTACGAGCTTAAAGTGTAAGTACAAATGCCCATCGACCCACATCTGAGGCCGCAGCACTCAGAGGGATGATCGCCATGAAGGTTATCACCACCAGATGCTCCAACTACAAGCTACTGAGATCTAAAACGTTCCCAGAAACAAAGAAAACCATAAGGTGCAACTGTCCATCTGTACTAACCAGTCAGTTGATATGAGCAAACAAACTCTGCATATACTATATATGAAATTAAACAAACATGAGGAAGAATAAAAGGAATATGCACAGAATATAATCAGGGTTCTTCAATGGTTCTTTGCAGTATCTTGAACTCACCCTATAAAAATGTGTTGTCAAATAACCCAATATGGAAAATTAACTGGTCACAGTCAAATAAATTAGTTATATATTTGCATTTATGCAACACACTTACATTTTTTCAGTTCTTGTTTTCCCTGAGAGTCAAATCAATGATATCGGTGCTGCTATCACCATGCTCTACTGTTTATTAATATATTACTAATAAATAATATGTTGTTTATTAATCTGAATGCATTCGGTTAAACCAACCATTTCTGGCTACAAAGAGTTTCCATGTTTACTATATGTTACTTTTGAGATTCATGTTTCCTTAGATCAGTATATTGGGTTCTGGGTTCTTTAAAGCGTTAGTTCAAGATGGTTTACTAAAGAACTAGAAAATAAAAGGCTATGCATCTTTCAAATATTCTCCTATTACATCAAGCTCTAAAACCTTTATTTTAAATCTGAAGAGTGCTACTGAATGATTCCGGTTGGGAACGACTAATCTCCGTTAAAGCGATTTAACTAACGACGTTTTGCAGTAAACTGTCATTTGCATTGAAATGCATGAACATTTCCAAGCCAAGCAGGTCTAGATTGAAGTCTGGTACTGATGCAGAAACATACACTCTTGACACACACAGTCTTACCTTGCGAGCGCGTGCCTATGCCGACATCAGGTGCGGTGCAGCCCAGGTGAAATATGCGCGTGAATAAATGTCTGGATTTAAATCTACAGTGTGCGTTTAAACACATCAACACCGCAGGTTTGGCAACAATGACGCGAAGGTAAACAGAATGTAACTAACGGGACTGGAGCATATGCAAACGCATCTGATCAGAGTGACACTGACTGGACACCGGTCTGTCCGGCACTGAGCATGCGCAGTCGCGCCATGTGGGGCTCATGCCGGTGCGCTCGGGGTAACTCCTTTGTTTAGGCGCTTAAGCGTAAATCTTATCCGGCGGGTGTCAATAGATGCACGAGTAGCATCTTAACATAAATATTATCTATTTGGGACCCAATAATAGCATCTTAACATAAATATGATCTATTTGGGAGCCAATAAAAATATGTATGTATGTTTTTATTTATTTATTTAAACGTCATTAGTAGGCTATAATGTAACTGCAATGTTTTAATAAAATGCACGTGTTATCCAGGTTTGATCACATTATATTATTTTGTACTCAATTTGTATAAATATGCATTTTTTATATTTAATAATTCCATATTAATATTTATATTATTTTAGGCTATAATTATTCTTTTAGATATTTAATTATTATTATTTATAGTGTAAATTATTGCTAAGTTCTAATAAAATATCTAATAATATAAAATATGTTTTATCCAGTCTGATCATTGTGTTGTTATTTTGTACTTTTATAAATATATATTTTTTCATATTTAATAATTTCATATCTAGTCATTTTTAATCATATTTTTATTATGCACTATAATTATTATTTTACATATTTAATTATTACGATTTTATTCCGTTTTGATCATTATATTATGTGGTACACTATTTGTATAAATGTAATTGTTCTCACATTTAATAATTTCAAATCTATTATTATCATTATTATTATTATTATTATTAAATATATTATTGAGGATACGTTTTTAACCTCATTATAGTGTAACTGACTGCAAAGTTTTTTTTTTTAAATACATGTTTTATCCAGGTTTGATCAATATTATATTATGTTATATTAATTTGTTTAATTTTGTATAAATTTATAGTAACTCAATTTGTATAAACATAATTGTTTTCATAATTAATAATTTCATATCTAATAATTATATGATATTTGATCATTTAATTCTGCATCATATTTTATACATTGGCATACAGTGATGTTTAATAATGTTATATTGCATATTTAAATGTAATGATTTTTTCCCTCTGACAGGAATATTATTTTGTATTCAATATTTATAAATATAATGTTCATGTTTAATACTTAATATCTAATTATTACATAATTGCATTATAGTAATATATTATGCTCTGCATCATATTGTATACATCACACATTGGCATGCAGTAATTTTCATTAATGTTATATTGTATAATGTAATAATAATTGTCCCACTATCAGACCCTCTCAATAAAATCCCCAAATCAATACATACTGAGGAGTATCCTGTTACAAAGAATATTTTATCTCACTGCGAGAACCCAATGTAGACACAAGGTGGCAGCAAACCTTAGAAAACAATTTCACAGATGGAAAAAAAGTGTAGGTTTTACTTTTAAACAATTTGCACTAAGAAATTGCTATTCAGTTTCACAAATAATTATAAAGATACGGCAAGTAACACAATTTGGAAGTAGAAAGCCTAAATAGTATTTTCTTG